CCCCCCCCCCCCCCCCCCCCATCTTAAAGCTATTTAAATTGTCTGAATTGCTCGTGCTGCTTATTACTAAGTCAGTGTCAAAGACAGTTAATGCAATTTAACAGTAATTGACCTCAACTGGAAACAGATCTCGGGCACAATATGAGACAGTTTTTACACATAACATCCTCAAATTTGTCCCTCACACCAGACCCATACTTTTGTTCTAAAGAGGGTTAAAAGATAGCAGAGGACAACAGGGAAAAAAAAAATCTCAGTAATGAATGGAATAGCGGTATGCCTCTTGTAGAAGCATTTATGCACACTTCTTAGCATGCCTTACCTTGATGTCAAGAGACAATATATATTGAACTAAAGAATCCAAGACTGTGATTTAAGGCAGGATAATGTAGAATTAAAGCAATGTCTCCACCATGCATCTACCGTTTCTGTCAACTTCAGATGTCACGTGACTTACGGTATATACCACAAGGAAATTGAATAGCAAGCTATGTGATGTAGAACAACATATAAGAGTATTATGGCAAACATTATTACATCACCAACTGGTGCATTTTTAGTTACCTGAGATTGAGCTCTATGCTGAGAGGGAAGAAAAGATGGAAATGGAATTTAGATTCACAGTTTCACTAAAGTCAGTAGTAGAAATACCAATAGCTGCAGGGTTTCCTCCCAGGGCATACTATGTTTTGTCACACAAAGAACTATTCTCATCAACCTCCTACATCTAAAGTTGTCTCAGGAAAAGAATATCAATTACATTTTTCTGCACCGTAGGGAAGAGAGTAGCAAACAGGTTTATTTGGCATCTGAGGCTAATTACCATGCCCATAAAGAACGTGGGAATCTAAGAACTGCCAGACCAGATCAAAACTATTTATTTTCTGGCCTCATTTTTTATTCTAGTCTGTTCAAAGGATCCTGTAAAAAGCTCACATATAAGCAAATACAGTAAATAGGAAGTCTTCCAGGCAGGTTTTGTCCTTAACCTTCAACTAGTCATTGGTTTATGAAATTATTTTTTTTTTTAATTTTAATTCTCAATTTATTTTCCATTGAATTTAATCACCACCTGAACTTCATTAGAACAAAGAATTAAAACATTCAACCATGGCACTTGTTTCAGGGTTTGTTCTTTAATATATTGCTGAAGAAATATTAGACCTATGTATTTCTTAGATCATTCACAGAAAATAACAGTGTTGAGAAAGTGTTTGTCTATCAGCCTGTTCAATACATATGTGCAACATTTTCTGCTTCACCTTGTCAATATGAGATTGGAACTGAATTTTTGTCTATTTGTATTAAATGTCTACATACATCGCTCACAGTTTGGCAACTTGTCAAGGAAATGTCATTTATCAGATTAATATTTTCACAGTCATGCCCCCATGTTCCTCTACTAATGATATGATTAAATTCCTAAACCAAAATCAGCATAAGTATTAGTTTTTGCTTTACAACTGTCTTGATTTTATATGCATATAGGAAAAGTTCTGTATAAAAATATCACTTACGGATTTGACTCAAGGTTAATTTTGTTTTCATCAGGCATAATCCTATTGGAAACACATTTCCTCATATAAATTTACATCTCTGCACATAACGCAGTTTTGACAGTTTAATGAAAGTACCCATGTTATGAGTGAGCAGCACTTTTAGTGTGTCACATCAACACCTTTAAATTTCCTTTGAACTGGAGAAAATCTTGGACCAAAGTAATGTCTAGCACTGAACTTTTTTGTCTAGACCATAGGTTATTACTTTGTGCAAAGACTTCTAGGTTTGTAATGAGAATTAATTTGCTCCCTACCCATCAGCTAAAACAGGAAAAATAATTACCTTTGATGTGTACATATTGGTCAATAAATCTGCTTCTAATGCTTTCATTTCCTCTTCTGAGTCTGGGAATAAACCAGAAACATATGTTTATTATTTCATCATAAATCATGGGCATTTCAATTCACCACACAGAATTTAGATATATCAATGAATTCTGAGAAACAATCAATCAAACCCCAAACAAACAAGTCAGATAAAAACACAGCAAACTGATCTAGAGGAACTGTGAGGAGTCTTCAGGTAACAGCAACATCACGTTACAATAGATACTCACTACCTTTTTGAAGCATGATCAAGCTCACTGAAGTGAATGAAATGATTCATTAATCTCACTTCACTGATAGACAGGACCGATAATCTGCAGCCCTTTCAGTAAATAAAACTGCTGCAATATTCTTCTTTCAAAATCAGTAGGAGTTTCATAATCACTATTTATGATCTTTGCTTACTTTGGAAGATTTTGGATATTTATTCTCAAAGAATATTTATTTAAGTAGCAGCTAAGCACTTAGGTGAATGGCAGTTACGATTACTTGACATGATTTAGTCTTGATTATTCTTGGTTAAATTAAGAATATTTTTACTGACGTGAGGAAACTGAGCTTAACCAGTTTGTGATACCAGCTCTTAACAATGCATACACCAAAAAAAAAGTATTCTGACTGAAAGTCTGAGGATTTTCTTTACTAATTTAATTGACCTTTGATCGATCAGCAGACTTGAAAGAGCTGTGATTTGGTGAATAGGGTAAAAATTGCAGTAGAAAGAGAAAACAGCCACAAACTTTTCTTTGTGCTGTACAGAATCACAAGGAAGATCTAGTGCCTTGCAAATGTAGCAGCAATCACAGCTCAAAGGCGAGATATATGCAGAAATTAGTTAAGACTTCAAGAGAAGCAGAGTTCCACATGGATTTTACATTTCCTGGAATACCAGCAGTCAAACAATACACTTACTTACATTTCAAACCAGACTAAACCAAACTCTATTGCATATTCATATAAGTCATATCTCACTTTCATCAAAACAATCTACACTGTTGGCATATAACACCTTACTACAGAGTCTGTGGACAGATTCTGCCTATGCCTTCATTTCAGGGATCATCACCAGGCTGTGTCACTACCTTTCACAGAACATGAGACTGTAAGGGACCTTTTATACAAATATGTGCTAATCTGTCATAGATTTCTGCTAGCATAGGAAGCCAACCATTATAATGCTCTTAAAAATCTATCATGTTCAATCTTACCTCCACTATGTTTCCTGTTTGGGGAATTCTTCCAGACTATCAGTGGTTATTCACATTCTTCTAAATTCAAGCCTAATTTACTTCTAATTACAAATTTATTAATGGTTTACACATAACTTCCTTCACTACAAATCATACCTTTCTATTTGTAATATTTAATCAACTCATGTATTTTTTGAGAGCAATCACAGCCCTTCCAAGCTCCTGTTCACCTTTGCATTACCAGCACACTGTATTCATTCTTACTGTTCGCATTGAAGTTATTATTGAAAATATTAGACTGGTTTGTAGATCAGTATTATGGCAAGTCACTAGCAACTAAATCTCCAACCTAATGCCCTTCAGCCCTTTCAGCACTACAGGTTGTCAGTGTTACCTGGTCTCTTAACGGGTTTACCACTAAGCCAGAGTTCTGCTGGAAGCACAAGATCACCTCAGCTGAATTTCTACTAATGACAGCAGTAGCTCCTGTGAATGGGTAAGTGGCACATGTGTGACAGCGTCATGATTTGTGGTGTCCTGGGTCATACTAGCTGAGGACAATGAAAGGACTTGTGTCTGGCTAGCACCTGTTTTTATATTCTATAGAGGATAGCTTCCACACCGTTGAGGCCAGAAGATAGCTGCAGATGTGGAAGATAGGTATGTATAAAGATGATTGAGAAGTCTGGAAGACGTTATTTAGGAGGCCACTCAAGATTCCTCAAGTGAAGTATAAAGCAAGATGAGGAGGAAGAGAAGGGACCACATCCATGTAATTCAAGAGAGAGATGAGGAACAAAAGCATAAAAAGAGCAGACTCTCAGAGAGCAATGTATAAAACGTCTGGTTACACATTATCATTCAAATCAGAGGGAAATTCACAGTTTGATGTTCTCTTGATTCCCTTCTTGTTGACAAGAAATACAGTTTCTATTCCGATATTCACATTCTACAGGAATAGTTACATTCTACAGGCACAACTTTTCCCCGAGGGCAAACATTTTTGAAAGAAAATTAGAATGAATTATCATTTTCTTTATGACATAACTGTCCATATTACTTAAAATTAATTTGGTCCCTCCACACAAGCTTCTCCATGGCATTTCTCATTTAAATATAATTTCAAATTTTCAAGCAAATAAACCATCATGTCAGTTACACATCAATTTTGATTCTGGGGGGGTTTATGTGCCTATTTTAATTTCCACTGATTTTTTTTTTCTTTTCTTTAGTGGGCTTTCCTTCAGGCTCTACAAACAGCTGAATTTGAATCAGACTCACTGAAAACACTGGTCAAGTAATGGTTTAAAAAACTTCAAATATATAGGTAGAAAATAATAAATGTTAAGCCTTGTCACTAAGATCACCAGTTCTCTAAAATATACGGACTGATTATGTTTAAGCTGTGATAAAATGCAGGCATTGTGTGTGTTAACATCCTTCTTTGGCAGGGGAATACAAGTTGGAAACTTTAATCTAAAGCAAGAATTAGGAATTCTGAGTCCTCTTGAATAATGAAACTGAAAAATGAAGCTACTTGTAAATTTTTCACTTTACATTTTTTGGAGTTAAAAATTAAGCTAATTCACAAGTTAATTAAGACTGGATTTTGAAGCCTATTCTGCTTCATGTCTGTGTGTATACACCTGTTTAATCACCACCATACCTATTTTTGGTCATAAACAGGGCACAAATGACACACACTTAGCTGTGTCATTATCAAAACGAGCAGGCAATGCATTTTAGTATATGCTCCTCTTTTTTAAGGTTTCTAAAGCAATTGTTCTTGAAGTAGAAATTCACTTACATTAACCTTCCTATTGTGTGATCTGCATCAGATTCATCACCTTTTGTCATCATTTCAGATCAGCTGCTACCAATTTTTCCCCAGAATACTAAAAATGTATTTCTGTCACTAAAAAGTGACTAAAGTGCATATATATTCATGCTGATTTGGATTATGGCAGCTGAGTTGCAGAATTTATAATTCCTATGATAGTTTCGAAATACGTGGTATTCAGTAAATCACAAATGAGGCAGCGTAATCAAGCAGATGGTCAACACTGATCTGCATTTGCAGTGACGGGTGTACACGAACTGCCACGGTGTAGGTGCTGTGAGACGGAACGGTTTATAAAACGAAGGAGAAAGTTCTGGGAGCGAGAGGAAAATGATGGTGGCCAGCGCCCTTTACCAGGGGCCGGTAGCCCGGAGCGACTTCACCTCCATGCCGGCGGTCCCCGCCCCGGGCCGCGGGAGCGACGTCGGGGGACGCGGAGCCGGCCGCGCTGCGGGGCAGCGCCCGGGCGGAGGGAGGCG